GAAACCCTACAGAGTCCCTAAGTCAAAATCCACTTGGTAGTCATCACATTGACAAAGCTCTGGTGGCACAATGAGCTGAGCCTTGGTCTGCTAACTAAAAGGTAAATGATCCTGAGAACAACGAGGCTCTGTTTTCAGTTACAACCTTGGAAAACCCCAGGGGGGCAGGTCTACTCTGTCCTATAGGGTTACTTAGAGTCAGAATTAATTCAATGGCAGTAGGTTGGGTTTTTTAGATGTTGACACAGGGGTGCCTGAAGGGGCAACGTTCAGAAAGCACCCTGGCGAGAGGCAGAGAAGTCCCAGGCTATCTATCTACCTGGGAAAATCTGTATGGACTGCAAGGTTCATCTTTCTCGGGACCAGACTGTGCAGGTCAGGCAGGCCCTGAATGGCCAAGTGTCTGGATGGGCCCATATTCATGTTTACCACCAGTGGGCTTTGGAGGTTGAAAGGTCTCAGCTTGCTATAAAGAAGTAAACCACCTGGTAATCTGCCCCTGGTTCACTGACATAAAATCCAGGCCCCCGCAAGGGCTCTCCAAGACCCCTGGCCAGAGGCAACTGGCCAGCTCCCATCAGGGCCAAGGGCTGTGGCCTGAAACTCACAACCAGTCAAAGGCATCTTTATATATGCACACACACCACATCCGCTCACACAAACCAGACATGCACACACACACACACACACATTAACCACCCCCAGCAAGCTGGCTGATGCCACCACTTCACAGGCCTGGCCTAATCCCGGGAGCATCTGCACCCCTCCAGGAGAGGCTCAGGCCCACCCAGGGTGAAGCTGACATAGGCTCTGGCCCAGTGGCCTATGCGAAAGGTGCAGAGCGATGCAGGTGAGGTCGAGGGGAACATGGACCCATTTCAAGACCCCTTCCCAGAAGGATGAGCTGTGGAAGGGCTGGAAGCGGGAAGGGGTTCAGCCCCCTGTGGGAGTTTAGATACAAAGCCCCTCGCATAATAAGATGTGCTATGGGGCCGTGACTCAAGGTCATGCCCCTGAGTCAACTCCCTCGCCTCCCACATCTAGACACCCATTAACGCCAATGACAGGAAGAAGCACTGTGTTCAAGCAAACAGAACCCAGAAGGCAGGAGAGAATCTGCGCTTGACCTCAGCTCCAGGGAGAGAAGTGTGTGTATCTGGGAGCAAGGGCAGGCCGGACACACAGGCTAAAGGGCTTGGGTGTGAGTCTGTTCCTCTCACCATTTCTCACCTGTTGCCAAATGTTCTGCAATGAGCATATGCTAGTTCATAAATGGAATGAAGAGACAGGGCTAGCTAAGTAGTACACACCCACCCACCCCCGACCCCTGAGAATTTCAATCTCCAGACTGAGGGGAGGGGCTCCATGTTTAATCGAAGCACCCAGGAGTAAAAGATCAATTGATTAGATTACTTTACAAAGGGAAACCTGGAATCAATTAAAAGGCAGATGCATACAGTTGGCAAACCAATCGCCCAACAGTCATCAGAAGTAACAGTGACCACGGTCACTGATGAGACAGGAATTAGAAGGTCACTCAGAACACCACTTTCACCTGCCTTCGGAGGGTCTTGCTGGATTAAGTTGTTGTATGATTTCATTTGTACACTCGGGTGCTTTGTTCTAGTTAGACTCCCCTCGGGTAGCAAGCATGTGAGAAGACAAAATGGAGTTGGCTTTGACAACTGGGCAGTGAGGGCACATCCTAAGGAAATAATGTGAAATACATACATAAAACCATTTTATTTTTGAAGATGTCCATCACAGCAGAGTTTACAATACTGAAGACTTGGTAGGAACTGAAATTTCCACTAAACAGATGATAAAGTAAATTTGATAAAGTTATACAATGTCATCACTGTAAAAATCTAAAGCAACCAACCACAGATAATACTGAAGTGCTAGTGGGGAAAAAATAAGATAAAGCTGCATGATGGAGAACATTTTTATGATCACAAAAGTATAAAAAATTCACACCAAAATAGGGAAAAAACAGTGATTAAGTCAGGGTAAAACATTTGTGGAACTTTTTTTTAACCTATTTGTAGTCTGGTGTTTTCCAAATTTCCCCTTGTCAGTTCAGCAATTGGATCAAGAAACAAACAAACAAAAAAGGCAGAACATAAAACCATCTTTTGAAGAAAGGTGAACAGGTTTTTTCACAACAGTCAATTCTTTCATCCCAGATACAGTCTCGCCTAGAGAGCCGCTCAAACATCAGCCTCTTGGAATGGGGGGACGGGAGGAGGGAGCGGGGCATTAGTTGGGCTGTGAAAATGTTTATGACTGGATGAATTGTGAAGAGAGGAGGGGGGCGGGCAACTTAGGAACTGGGAGAGGGAGGAATTTGCAAGGGTAAGTGGGGACCAGTGATGAGCTGGTCGCCTAGGAAAGGGGAATCGTGGGATCGAGGGAAGACTCGGACTGCTCTGCGGAGGTCGTCTAGACCCAGTAGTAGGCACTGACGGTGTTCTTAAAGGGGAAATTAAAGAGGGATTCTAGGAAGACACATGGATTCCTGGAGGAACGAGGGAGGAAAGAGGGGGGAACGGTAAGCTACTTGGCAAGATAGGGAAGGCTGGGGTGATGGCAATGGCAATGGCAGTGACAAGAAAGAGGCCAACTGTCATAGTGGCACTCCCTACTTCACTCATCTCTGAACAAGTGCCTGCAGGAGAGGGGAGAGGGCAAACACAGGAGAGAGAACCAGCTCTGATCAAGAGCCTTTCTTCCATGAAGGAAATGTTCTACATCTGTGCTAACCAACAGGGAGCCACTTGAACTGTGGTGAGGGCAAGTGGCAACTGCTCTTTCAACCTTTATTTTGATTACTTGGAACTTAGGTTGATCTCTTCAATAAATGGGTAGGGGACAACTAGATCACTGACAAAAGAGTGAAGCTGGCACCCCACTGCAAGCCATATACGAAAAGCAATTTAAAATTGAGCAAACTATAAGGACTAAAAGTCACACATGAAAGAAATCATAAATAGAAAAAAACCCAGGCTGAAGGGAGATGTCGGACAGGGCAAGATATGACAAAATACCCATTTATAAACTATCAAGGGCTGATGAGGGAGGGGGGAGCGGGGAGGGAGGGGAAAAATGAGGACCTAATGTCGGGGGTTTAAGTGGAGAGAAAATGTTTTGAGAAACGATGTACAAATGCGCTTTACACAATTGATGTGTGTATGGATTGGGATAACAGTTGTATGAGCCCCTAATAAAATGTTAAAAAAAGAAAAAAGAAAAAAACCCAGGCATGCACCTTAGTGACACTGGCTTAAGGAAATGTACAACTGACAAAAGAAAACAAAATTAGATAAACTGGACTTCAACAAAATAAAATAATGTGTATCCAGGGGCATGACCAAGACAGTAAAAAAGCAACCTACAGAAGGGGAGAAAATTTTGGGAACCATGTATCCGATAAGGGTATAAAATTCAAGAGCAACAACAACAAAAAGCCTCATAAAAAAATGGGCCAAAGACTTAAATAGACATTACAGAAGATATACAAATGGCTTATGAGCATATGGGAAAGATACTCAATATCATGTTATCAAGCAAATGCAGATCAAAACCACAATGCAATATCACTTCACATCCACTAGGATAGGTGTTATCCAAACACAGGATATGGAGAAATCAGAACCCTTACGCACTGCTAGAAGAGATGTAAAATGGCGCAAGGACTGTGGGAAACAATTTGGTGGTTCCTAGAAAAGTGAAGCACACAGAATTACCACATTACCCAGAAGTTCCACTCCTGCGTATATAATACCCCCAAAACACTGAAAGCACAAACTCAGATACATGCACATCAATGTTCACTGTAGCATGATTTACAATAACCCTAAGGCAAAAACAACCCAAGGGTCCATCAACAGATAAGGGAAAAACACAATGTGGTACTGCCATAAAGAATAAAGTTCTGATCCATGCGAAGCGACGACATGAATGAACCTTGCAGACACACATGCGGAGTGAGAAGGCAGGCACAAAAGGGCACACAGTGGATGAACCCACTTTATTGAATGAATTATCTAGACTAGGCAAACCCATCCAGACAAAAGAGAAGTACTGGTTACCAGGGGTTCCAAGTAGGTGGCCATGGGGAGAAAACCACCTCTTTTCGTATAACCAGCTTTTTGTGCCTAGTGGCTCCCTTTATCAGAGAGCACAGACCTAGAGCAGCGTTTCTCAAAGTGCACTCCTTGACCAGAACTCAGCCTAACCTGGGAGTGGATAGAAACGCAAACTCTCAGGCTCTTCCGCTCGAGTGGCTGAATCAGAAAAGCTTCAGATGAGGCCTCCAGGTGGTTCTCAAACTTCCAGGATCACTCTCTCTCAGCTAAAGCAAAGAAACAACGCCCTACTCAAGAGAAACGGTGATTTCTATCAATAAAGTGACCAGAGAACTATTAATCAAATACATCCAGCTAAGCAAGACTGAAGGAAGGTCATGTATAGTCACAAACCTAAGGACTGTGGTGGCTTTGATGTCTGGACACCCGAGCGAGGCTGCTCATTACTGTGTACGTCAGAGACAGGCAAAAGGTAAGCAGATGCACGAAAAGCAGCGGCAACTCTTAAGACGGTTTGGAAGAGCATGATTTAGACCAAGAGATGCAGCCTATCCTTCTAAAAGGGAGGCCAAAAAGAGCTGAAGGATTCTGGGGCTACCCCATTCACAGATCACTTTCAGCAGAGACAAATGGACAGGCAAGGGGCCCCACGGGGACCCCAGAGGTGGCTTTGATCATGGGGTGAAAACACGGCTCCCGATCCAGTTCAGCTTATGACTTCATCAAGGGCAGAGGTGAGGAAGTTTTGATATTAAAATCACCCTTCCAGAAAACAAACTCAAACAAACTCCCTGCCATCAAGTTGATACTGACTCATAGCAACTCTATAGGACAGGGTAGAACTGTCCCCATGAGTTTCCGAGGCTGTAACTCTTTAAGGGAGTAGAAAGCCTTGTCTTTATCCCACAGAGTAACTGGTGGTTCTGAACTGCCAACCTTGCAGTTAGCAGCCCAACCTGTAACCACTATGCCATCAGGGCTCCTTTTCCAGAAAGCAAGCAAGGGGGGAAATATTTTTAAGACATAATAAGTGTAGTTTTTGTCATCAAACAACGGTGGAGAAAGAGATGGTGCTAGAGACTTGCTGTCAGGATGTCCCAAGGAATTTACAGACTGGGCTGTAGAAAGCAAAGTGGAAGTGATGGGTGCGATACAGATAATGTAGACAAGTCACTCTCAGAGGAGCCTTGATCTACCTCACCCAGTGATGCCTCACCTAGTGAGCAAGCCAAAAACACCATCTTTGAACGTGGACTGATCTGACATCGTCTTAGCTAAGATGCTACCTTACCTTCTTGTTCCACAAACTTCACTTATAAACACTGAAGCATTTGACAAGGAAGAATTCCTTAAAATGGCTCGCTTCACACCGGACGGCATTCGCTACCGAGTGCTGCCTCTGCTCAGCAGTATGGAAACTGGGTTTCTTATCAGCGTTCATTATGGAAGTCTGCACTCGAAATAGTCCTTCTCTCTCTCTCTCTCTCTCTCTCTCTCTCTACTGTAATTTACCTAGTGTTTCAATGACATCGAACGGTCTGGTGATGTTTTAATTTTGTTCATTGAGCACTTCAGTTCATTTTCTTAATAATGGAAAATTGACTCAAGAGGTTTGGTTGTAACAAATCCTAAAGCCAAATTGTTGATGCTGGTTTTGACTGCATACCGCTTGGGTAACCTCCAATGTGACAATGTGATGGGTTGTCCTGAAATAGCCAGCTCTACAGCCTCTCTCAGCAGCACAAGACACCTGTCCTTTGTGTTGGCAATATTCAAGGAAGCATCCATGCCGATGGCCGGCCTCCACCTAGTGAATCATTATATACGTTGTGATCCTGCAAGGGGTCAGAATCCACAAAATACAACTCCCCAGCATGGACGTCGGAGAAGTTGGCCAAGAATTCCTCAGGATTGAAGCTGACCCACACAGTATACCTATAATCTATGGTACGGATGGAGTAGCCCATGATCTTTATATCTTTCAAACTCGGCTTGTCAGAATTCCACTGAGGGGAGTCTGCAGGCCGAGGGTACTGGCTGTAGGCGATGGACTCGCGGGGATTCCCGCGGAAGGATGAGGCCTCCTTTGAGTCGTCGAACTGAAAGTGCTTCTGAAGGTTCTGGCCTTCTCTGCACAGCTCGACGTGAAAGGAGGGGACAGGGCAGCGGGGTGGGACAGGCAGCCCTGCCAGTCCAGCGAGCGTGGGGAAGAGAGACACAAGTTCCACGAGGCCCTTGGCTTGCCTGCCTAAAATAGGAAGCAAGATGGCAGAATCCGTTACATCACAGAAGCCTGCCACAAAACCCAGTGGGCAGAATCAGCGTGCGCTTGCTTGTTTCCTTTGCAAAAATTCCTTTTAGCCAGACTTCTAGAAGCAAGGCTGGAGACGAGTGAAGTATGCCTGAGTTAAGCAGAGTCAGAAGTGTGACCAAGGCACAGGGCATAATCTGACCACTCTCACCACCTCGTACTGGGCTAACAGCTTGCTACACGGTCTCTAGCCAACTATCTAGAAAGCAGCACACAGGAGGAACCGGCCAAAAGGCAGGTGGACCCAGCTCACCATCAGCAGTGATCTAGGACAACTCGAGTTCTAGCATGATGAAAATGTTCTATGTCTGTGCTGTCCGCTATGGTAGCCACATGTGGTGATTGAGCATTTGGACTGTATGAAGTGTAACTGGCTTCATGCTTTAAGTTTTTAGGTAATAGTGACTCCTTGGAATCTAAATTTCTCTCTTCAACAAATGGTGCTGGGACAAATGCGTCTCCACCTACAGGAGTGAAGCTGGACCCCTACCTCAACACCATATATGAAACCCAACTCAAAATGGATAGACTGAAGTGTAAAAGCCAAAGTCATGCAGCTCTTAAAAGAAAACAGGAGGAAACCTTAGTGACACTGGAATACGCAATGATTTGTTAGATATGCCATGAAAAGCATAAGCTGCCAAAGGAAAACAAAAACCAATGGGACATCAACACATGACACTGGACGGTGTGAAGTCCTGAACTGTGATTCAAATGTTGTATGCCGTGAGTCAATTCCAACTCACAGCGACTCTATCAAGACAGAGTAGAACTGCCCCACAGGGTTTCCAAGGCTGGTGGGTTCAAACCACCGACCTTTTAGTTAGTAGCCAAGTGCTCAAGCAATATGTCACTTCAATATACTTTATACCTGTCTGCATCAATTCTGAGGTGGAATCAAAGGGGTCGATGTAAGGAAAAAACTTCTCGCCTCCCTGCGGAAGCAAAGCCGTTGTTCCAGGAACGTAGAACATCAAGGGCACACGAGTAGTGACATCGAAGTTGCTGTATTTGGCCCATTCTCCATGCTCACCAAGAGACCATCCTGATTCAGAAAAAGCACAGGATAACAGGAAATGAAGAAATTCCATCCCAGCTGCTGCACGTTAGCTACCACTTCATTTCCAAAAGATAAGGGCACTCAGCTCTGAGACCACAAAAGAAGCCATTGCACTTGAACCCAGCTGTAGTCCAAGTCCGATATTTGCTGTAAAGAGTGAAACCTTGAAAAGAACAAAAATTACATTCTGAAACTAAGCTATCCGTTGTGTAAGCGACCTAGCACCATGCATGCACCTTAGGCTCTGGAGGGCACTTGGGCCCCACATGGATACCCGTCCCCGGGGAAGACTGGCTCATTGTTGGTTGTGAGAGAATGGTGGAAGCCACAGTGCCACCACCACCTTGTCCTATGACTACTCATCTCAGGGACCTGGTCTCCTCGTGTCTACCTTGCCCTATGTCCACTAAGCTCATCTGGGCTCTGATTTCAAACGCCTACTGCAAAACTAGCTTGACTACTCCAAGTCACGTATTCCCAATCTGATGAGAGTTGAGACTTCTTCTTTCTTCTCAGAGAATCCCCTCTGTCTGACCCCAGAGCTGTCAGAGTGCACTGGAAAGTGGATCACTGCCAGAGCAGTTCGGTTAAAATCGGACACCTTTTCATTTGTCCTCCTGGAGGACCCATTTGAAATTTGTTCCAGTTTGCGCTATTTCCGGCTTTCTCTTCAAGTGAGGCGTTTCTTGGGTTTTTTGGGGGGCGTGGTTTTTTGTTTGTTTTCCGGTTTAGGGGTCTGGTTTTTCTGCAATGTAAAATCCAAGAGAGGCAACTCTTTAAAGACAGTGACTGAATGAATGGCTTATTACGGGCAGGACCGAGAAGGCTGGAGGGAAATGGAGAGCTAATAACAATGAATATAAGAAAATATTCTAGAACTGATGGTAGTGATGATTGCACGACTACTATTAATATGACTAAACTACTAAAGTGTAGGATATAGGGATTCTGTCACAATGATTATATATATATAATATGTACATATAATGCATGTGTACACACACATCAATGACAGAGTAAAGGGTATTTCGTGCTCCCAAAAAGACAAGAGAGCTGCCAGGGATCCAAGACAACTCTTAAATACGTGTGTATTTTCCAGACGACAACCAGAGAGGCTGCTATTTCAAATAGCCACTGCCATCGACTCGATTCTGATTCACAGCAATCCTACATAGGTGTTGTTTTTTGTTTTGTTGTTGCTGTTGTTTTTGTGAGACTAAATCTTTAAGGGTGCAGGCGGCCTTAGATTTTGCGTGGAACAGTTGGGAGATTTGAACCACCAACCTTGTGATTATAACGCAACACGTATCCCATAGCACCTCCGGGACTCGCTGACATTTCAAAAGAGGACGGTGCGGATTTTAGCAAGCCGCCCCCCATCTGTTGGTGCATCACCCTGTTGTGGCTTGCATGTGGCTGTAAGACTGGAAGCCATGCCACTGATATTTCAAAATACCTGCAGGGTCACCCGCGATGGACAGGTTTCCTCGGAGCTCCAACATGAAAACAGACTAGAAAAAAGGCCTGGGGATCTACTTTTGAAAAGCTGCCATGCAAGCCCCTCTGGATGGATCGAAACATAACCCTGCTTGAAGGAGAGCCAACAGAGTCCCCAAGGTTGTAAGGCACTCAAAATAAGTACACAGTGGCCGCAAAAGTGGACTTGAACGTGCCAACGATCCTGAGGATGGCGCCAGCCTGGGCAACATTTTGTTTGGTTGTCCACGAGGTTGCTGTGCATGCATCCTACGTTGCGTCATCCATACCATGGCCACCCTGCCCCCAAGCAGAAGGCTGGGGCCTCCTCTGCGTCAGCAGGGTGTTCCCAACCAGTCACCACACAAGGCAGCCTCTGTCAAAGAAAAAACTCCCTGGGAGGCAGCTGCAAAGGCAAGAATGACGTCTGCTGAGGAGGAAGCTATGAGAGAGGGGACAGGGATAGGTCAGGGACCCTGCGGTGGGGACGAAGAAGACACCAGAGGCTACTCTGCTGAGACCTAAGACTGCAAGCATTCTCCAAACCAGACCAAACTCACTGGCAGTGAGTCGGTTCGGGCTGCATTGCTTGGAATATTCTCTCAGTTTGCTGGGGAGTCCTAGGAGCAAGGAATGGGAGATGAGGAGGGGAAAGTGAAGTTCATCAGAGGCAACCACTCAGTCTGAGCCACCTCCTTGCAGGACGCCTTGAGAGGTGATAGGAAGTCTCCAGTAAAAGGCTCTACTTGGTCAGCACCTTTCAGGCGGAGACCACCCCCACCCCACTCCCGCCAGTGTCTCCAGTGCTGAGGAACTGGGAAGGATCTTCATGTGATTTGGGGGAACTCAGGTCTTTATGGACAAAGTAGGTTATCGCCTTAGAAAGGATGAAGAGTTGAGAGGAACCCTCAGGCTCTAGACTGAGGGGACAGAGGGGATGATGGGTCCCTTCCAGGACTGCTCTGGATCTAACCCAGACGTGAGGGCTGGAAGAGCTCCCCTCAGATGGGGAGGGCTGGTGCCTGCTGAGTCCACCAAGGAAAAGGCCAATGCAACCGCCCGCCTACTCTCCCCAACTAAGCAACCAAGATCTGCCTCTGGCCCCAAGAGACCCCATGCAGCTTCTGGGCAGCGCTGACTCACCAAGAGAACGCTGCTCTGTCCCCATCTCCCAACCAGTCGGGGCTTCCCCAAACACTCACCGTGATCGGAGGTGAAGGCAACAATCGTGCGGCCGGCCAGCTGAAGGTCATCCAAAGCACTTAGCAGGCGGCCTACCTGCGTATCCACGTAGGAGACCGAGGCAAAGTAGCTCTGGCGGATTTTCCGCTGCGAACGTTAAAACAGTACATCGTGGCCCGAGGTCACATTCTCCTGAGCGTTCCTTCTGACCCTTTGATAGCGTTTCCCCACCATCTGCGTCCCCGTCACGGAGTCATATGGACCTAGACGATGGATCTGTGCGCAGATGCTGAGGCGACCAGGCCCCCTGCTTGCTCAGAAGCGAGTCGACCCTTGGTGGGCCTTTCTCTGACCTCTTCCTAACCCATCCCACAAAGGGATGGCCGTTCATCGTGGACCATGCTTGTCACGTGTGGCTCGTTTCTAACAATGGAGGAGAAGGAAAGTACCCTTCATGGCCGAGTCCAGCTGGACCTAATGAGTGCCAGTAAGGTACAGGGTGTCCCCTCACACCCAGGACACTAACCATGCCTGGAAACAGGACAGTGGACAATATAATCCAGCCATAATGAGGCCATAATGAATAAGGGTGACCCAAACCGAATGACAGGTGTCCTCCTCCTAATGTACAAGCCAAGAAACACCAAGGGCTCCCAGAAACTCCAGGGTCACTGACTCCTCTACTGGAGCCTTTAGAGAGTGCAGGGCCCTGCTGACCCCTGGCATTGGGACTTCTGCGTTCCAGAACGTGAGAGCTGACATTTGTCACTTTGAAGCCACCCACTTTGTAATACTGTCATGGAAACCACCGCAGATACACTGAGGAAAAGGCGCCCCCAGGCCCCTACTCGGGGCTGCTGAGCCCAGCCTCATCCCCAAGTGATCAGGAAGGAGATTGAGTGCCCCCCTCTCCCCACAGCCAAGGAACCGTTGACCCATCAGACCACCCCCCACTTCTGCCTCATTCCCAGCCTGTGCCTTATCAGCCATCTGCCTCTGCGGCTCTCATCACCACCAGGATGAGTGCAGTCACGGGCCTCACCCTCTCTCACGTGGGGAAGAGGATAATCAGTTAATCTTCTAGACTGCTGGGGAAGCCTAGCCTTGCTAGAAGACAGTCTTCAGTCTGTAAATGAGGAGGGCTGGAGACCCAAGCCACCTGTCAGGATGACGTGTCCTATTCAAGGGTCCCATGAGAGGGGGCACAGGCGAGGAGCCAGGGACACTATTGGTGGAGGCAGGGACCACCTAGGAGAATAAGCCCAGGAGAAAGCCAGGAAGGCTCCCTGGAGCAGGAGCATCCAAGAAAGGACCAGAGAGTGAGGTGGAGTAGGCGGCCAAAGCAGGGGCCATGGGGCAGGTGATACAGAGAATGCAACAGGAGGGAGAGGGGGAGGACGCCTGTGCCTAGTGGTCGACCACAGAGCTCCCCCGGCAAGGAGCTGACGTCATCGGGCCGCAGGTTAGTAAACAGGTCAGCTCCAGATCAGCGAGGAGTCCCAGGGGGGCTGCAGGCACACTGGTCGAATGGGGGCAGTGACAGACAAGGTCCAGGAGTTGGAGGGTGCAAAAGGGAGAGGAAGAGTGGAGGTAGGTCCCTAGGGCCACCACAGGTCTGGGAATCAGGAGTGAGGCCCGATTAGGACCTGGGACTGGCCACGGGAGCTGCACCTCCCCAAGCTGTGGAGACTTGGCACAGAGGTGGCTCAGGCAGATGGCAAGGCCCCCCGGGAAACAGCCAGCAAGAAAGCAGCACAAAGCTCATGGAGGACCCAACCAGCCAGGTCGATCTCATTTGTCACTCAGGTCCAAGGCTCCCAGGAAGCAACCAGAAAGGCACAGGCCCACAGAAGGACCCACGCGGCTGAGGCCAACATGGACCTTTTGTCTCCAGAACTACGGGCTCTGTCGTTTTTTTGCTGCATGTCCGAAGACACTGGCTGCCTGGTCAACCTGAGGACTTACACTCTGTGGTGGCTCCATCCCCATGACACTGCAAAGGGCTGCCAAGTACTGAGGTGCCCTGCTCACCAAGCCACCTGAGGGCCCTGCAGGCCTGCAGGGACATCACCCACCTCCTATGCCTGATGAGCTGTCACCATCACATCGACTAAGTCGCTGAACTGGCAGGAAGACTCCTGAGCACTGCCACTACCTGGATCGCAAACACCTACAGGAGCCCACCCGACCCCTACCTGAGAACAAGGGCTTCAGCGATAGCATGGCATCATCAGTGCCCGCCATGTTCCCAAGTGTCCTCAGTACCTGAAAATCCACCGGGATGGGGCCATAGGGCACGCTGATGTTCAAGGCTGCCACGTCCTCCCGCTGCCTGAGGTCCATCCAAGGGTTGTAAGCCACAGGCGGGAGGCCAGCGGGCACCCAGGGGTTGGGAGCAAGGGTGATGTTCTCCAGGGGGTACAACTTCTGGAACTCCTGGGGGTGAGCACACAAAGGCTCACACAAGATTGTCACTCTCCGTGTGCCATCGTCTTTTCTGGAGGCCCATATGGCTTTTACACAGGGGCTTCCCATCCCTTCCCACCTGGGCACCCGACACTGAGCCCTGAGAGCCCTCTCCCCTCACACAAACACCTGCCCTCCTGCCTGACTAGAAAACGATGGGCGACTCAGGGTCTGGGGAAAGCACACAGAGGCACAGAGACGCAAGGACAGCCCGAGAAAGGTGGTGTGCTGACCGGGGCTCAGGGCTCTGACCAGTGCCCCGGTGGAAGGTGGGAAAGGCAGGCACTGAAGAGGGCTTCCTGCTCCTGGAACCGTTTCCTGGG